TTTACTCCATGGCATACATACTTATGGCAAAGGTTTTTTCCTCCATCAAAAAGTGACTGTTTTAAGCCTCCCAATAACTCGTCAAGTTTTCTATCACGGAGGAAATCATTTTATCCTTCAGATAATCTGCAAATCACTTACAACTTGTGTAATCAACAAAGAAAAACAATTTTCTACCATTTTTATTCAGCAGAAACAAGCGCAGCTCAGTTTGGTTTTCGACAGCGGAGACAACAATGGCTTATCCGGCTCATCTTCCCCCAGGTGAAAATGGCTCATCTTGCCCCACCCGTGGCCATTTCCGATTAATGACACCCGCTAAGGAAAATAACCATGCACCGCAGATAACAACCATCTCATTTTAACGGCAAAACATGTCTTAGTTATCAGGGGCGATACCACATGTTACCGGGTGCTGAGCGTGAGAACGTTGCCGTCTCACGTGAAAGACTGCAGCATCGTAAGCGAACGGCACATGAAAGCTCAAGTCAATCAGCGCCATAGGAGCTGAGAAACATGGGGTGGCTAAACTTGCCCCTTGGCTCATCTATACCTCACTCTCCCCTATTTGGGGCTCGCAACCTTAATTCGTTAAAGTTATTTGTCTGTTCATTATAAAAGCTGTCAAATTTGCCGTATCATTAAACTTTTATTGAGTTTGTATTTCACACTTATCTAAAATGAACATTTTCGTCACTGGCTTCTTTTATGAATGGAATTGGATGGTCGCATGAATGAACGAATGAATTTTTTGAATTTTTTGAATGAATGACGAGAGAAATCCGATGATTTGAGGGTCCTGGTCATCGCTGACGAGAAAAAGCCAATTATTTTTATGTCCTGGTCAATGCTGAGATCCTAGGTCACTGGTTGACCTCCCAAATCAGGTTAATAACCCAAAAACACGGAAAATTGGGTCCTGCTAGAATTTCTACAAGTGAAGTTTGCTGGGACTTGGCTTGCTTCTGACCCCGAATTTGCACTTGCTTTGATCAAAGATGATGTATCAAAGCATTTGGGGTAGGACGGGTCACGCCAGATCACCCATTAGGCGTTCTGCCGGCTATATAGAATGTTAACCAGCACTTACAGCCTTGCAACATATTGCATAGGCACTATAACTGATACCTAAGTATGCCTAGTTTTCAAATGCTAAAATGGGTGCTAAATTTCAAACCAACACTTCCTAAAAACCACAGTAAAAAGGTGTAAATTTTAAGGAAGCTAACCGAGATCATTTCAAGTAAATGACCTTAACCTGAGTTTCACGTGACCTTGGCACCCACAACAATTAATGAGACAAACATTAGATAGTATATTTCACATGTTATCACGTTGCTAATCACGAAACGACTATGGAAACACACAGAAGATGACAGATGTGCGCTGACTTTCAATTGCTATTCTGGCCTTACGTCATGATCTTGAGAAAAATAATCACAGGTTAAAGGTAATTTGGTTCAGGGATTTAAAATTCTCAGACAAGATGCAAAAATGATTAGGGCTATTTAATTTTCCGGGAAGTTGTAAAATTGCTTAACTCCAGGGCACCAAAGAATCGTCGCAATCCTTCGCTTTGCCGCGATTTATTGGTGTAAAACAGCGGGCGCGGTCTACTTACCTCTACTTATATGTGTGGTGAGGGCTAATATTCATTTTATCTGTGTTGATGAATGTGCAACAATTTCTATATGAACTGAGACCAGTCCATATGAGTATGTTTTTCTCACGGACAATGACAATATAAAAAACAATGCGAATAAAACCAAACGTTTCGGACAACAACGTGCCTTCGTCAGTGGAGAAAAATGAGTGTATAGGTTTAACATCGATGAGAACTAAATGCGGCACCGTCCCGGTCTGGCCAGCCGGGTTGCCGATAAAATACACAAATGTTTATAAGCTTCCATGATGTGCTTAAAAAACTGCTGAAAATATATCTTTAAAAAAATAAAGATAACTACTTCATCGATGTTATCGAAAGAAAACATGTATGCCTAATTACTTATTTCTTGCCACTGACGGAGGCACTTTTTTGTGCGAAACGTCTGGTTTTATTCGTATTGTTATTGTATTGTCATTCCCTGTGAGCAAAAGGATAACTCTTCAGTTAGTAACCATAACAGCGAAACGGCTTATTGTAACACAATTCACTGTGTATACGAAACCTATAAGTCCCTAAAATAATTATATTTACAACTTTTAAAAAGATACAGCTTATACAGCTTGGGCATACAATTTTTCTCTGCATTAAGATAATATTAATTTATCTCCACAGAATATGGTAAATTAGTGCTGCTGAAGTTCGCTTTCGAAGCGTCTCCTCCAGGCATTCCACAGCTCTCGTGCCATTTTGGATCACGGAACATGGCTGGGCGCAGGACAGGTCGTCTGCGAGCTTGGACGGACCACGTGACCACCTCCTCCACTCCCCCTCACTCCCGTCCCCTTCCCCAGCAGGGCGTCCGATCTAACCGCGCCCCAGGCAGTCGGCTCGGTCCGACCCTCCCCATGGTCGAGCCACGGCCCGGTGCCGCCTGAGTTTGTGCCGGGTGCAAAACTGGAGCAGTAACTAGCGCCGGAACTAGTAGTCAGCACGACCATCGTCAGATGGCAGGAGTAAATGGAATAAGCGGTTCCAGGTTTCAGAAGGAATGGGGCAGGAAAAAGCGCTGAAAACAATGTTTTGCTGATATAGCCATAAAAAGTTCACTGAATTAGGAGAGCAGCACATCAGTTTAAAGCCCTTCAGATGGTGGTTTTAATAAGCACACAATCATTTCCATATTCGCCTCCAACGGTGTCACAGGCAAAGAATACGCTGAAATACTAGTGTGTACAGAAGCAACTGCGGGTCCCTGTACCACGGCCGAGGTCAAACGCGCCCCAAACTGACCGCGCTGACCGCGGGGGAGTGGTGTGGAAATGGGGCTTCAAGAGCCCTGATTCACGGCAGGACGCTACCTGACGCTACCGGTATCGAGGTATTGGGTTTCTATGAAAAAAATCAGCAAACTCGGTGCTCTAGTACCTATTTAGTGATGTCATTAATATAGTAGTTAAAGTTGACGTTATTTGAGAGCTAGTGAAAAGCCGTGGTTGGGCCCAAGTCGCATGACATCATACAGCTATGACAGTATGACGTCAGCTCCCGCAATACCGTAACGTTGTCGAAGTGTCAGGTGGCGTTATGCACTGAAACAGGGCCGAGGAGGATCCACTGTGTTTTTCTTTGACAAATGTTGTTGTCCGTTCCTGGTGATAGCTTTTAGTCAGATCGTTGGACCAGTTGTTACGTACTCTGTTCACTCTTTTTTTTTTGGCGGGCCTCAGTTTCCTGCAGGGGCTCGAGAGTTACCACTTCATTTTAATGGGACCAGCGGCTTGAGTCACCCCAACGATCCAATCGTGTAAATGCCGTAAATAGGAGTTCACAGCGCTGGGTGAGGTTATGCTACAGGAAACGGGGAAAATGCAAGCGTTTCTTTTAGATAACTATCATTCACTCACAGTACAGTGAGGGTGTGCTTTATCCATGACTCTCCCTCTCCATTTATGATAGCAACGACTTAGGAGGGCGTCAGTCTTCCTCTTTTTGCGCATGCCATCTGTGGTGCGGCGAGGTGTAAAAAATATATTCCTGACATCGATCGATCGATTGGCGCCTGTCGATAATGCCGTGAGCATTGTTTTGTCGAAGGAAAGCTGACAAAAGAATCAGACATGCAAACAGATGCGCCAGTCCAGCACATACAGAATCAGAGAGGTGAATAACCACGCATTGCCATCAAGGGACACCATCAGGAGTTCAGTGAGTTTTAATGCAGTAAACAACGAGCGAGCAGTATCTGCAATGTAAGAATTGGTGGACCATTATTGTAGGCAGGGCTGCGGAGTCGATGGATTTTCGGCGACTCCAACTCCGACTCCGACTCCGGCTTTCAAAAACCAGCTCCGACTCCGACTCCGACTTCGGGCAGAATTGTCGACTCCGACCGACTCCAACTCCCGACTCCGACTCCGCAGACCTAGCAGGGCTGCGGAGTCGACAAATTTTCGGTGACTCCGACTCCGACTCCGGCTCGGGTTTTTAAAATCGACTCCGACTCCGACTCCGACTCCGGTCACAACTGTCGACTCTGACCGACTCCGACTCCGACTCCGACTCCGACTCCGCAGCCCTGATTGTAGGTATGTGAATTTGAAAAAAAAGAAAAGAAAAAAAACAATGGTGATAGGTATTCAGCATTTATGTAAAGTACATTACACATATTTTCATACGATGGTTGATTTTCATATGACGCGTTATAGTGTCTGAATGCAAACAAAACCCCGTTGTATCCAAAGGTCAGGGTTATGAAGGGTAGTTTTGAGCGCAGTAAGCCTTCCGTTGCCTGCCTCATTGCAAACATCTCATTAATAATGTTCAGCAGAATGGGCGTACACAATGTCCTATTGCCTTTCTGTGTGCAATCTATGCACTTGGCGGTCGATCGAGCGGTAGTATCGCCCAGCGGTTCCTGGAAATGTTTGCCGTACCCCTCCCTCCCCCACCTCCCCCTCCCCACTGGCCATACGACACTGTCTGGGCAGCAGTGGTAGCGGGCGCGACCTTCCGCGAATGGCCTGGCCACGCAGCTCGACTCATATTTCACAGACACCGGCGCAGATCATACCCTGAAATGGCGCAGCTATCGACGGAAATTTGCTGGTGTTCCGTGTCGACATTGTCCACGAGGATTCATTTAATTCATTCATTCATCAGCGTGTCATGTGGACTGAGTGATATTTTCCCGATATTCCAATAGAAAATGAGCAGAGCACAAACCTTGAAACGATAACGGACGAAACAGCACAGACACACGTGGACCAGTAGAACCATCTCAATCATCGCCATCAGTGCTGCATCTGGTCTGAAGCACCACCCCCCAAATGTGTCATAACTATTCTGTCATAACTGTTCTGTTGTAACGGTTTTAACACCTTCTGTGAGGACCTACCTCGCAGTTGAGGTTCTTCTCTCTGCTGTTCATTGGCCGGCATCTCACCAGCACCTTGACGCTCTCCGCCATCGCGGGGAGCTGGAACAGAGCAGTTGCACTAGGTAAGAGCAATGCTTACAGGGATGAACGTTGACCGATATGAAGTTGGTAATAACTACATAGAGGGTGCTTTTCTCGGACTAAGAAATGTATCCATCTTCCTCTAGGATATGACCATTGCCCACGATTGCTGTTACATTGAACCCACATGCGATACAACAGATATTGCAGATAAACCTTCAGCTACATATCAAATCTGATGCCTTTCGATATGCCGGATACTCAGACAGGTTCAGTAAACGAATCATGCAGAATAAAAGAAACATCCATTGGCGTTAAAATTGTTGCGCATATTTTACTGTTCTACGATGGCATCGATTATTCAAAGAGAAAACAAACCCTTGTAATTCCCTAAAATCATCTTAGAGCAATTGAAAAGCAGTAACATTTAAATCAGTAAAACAAACTTCGATCTTCATGACTAAGAAGGAAAGGGAAACGCTGTTAAAATGAAATTTGTGTACGAATTGGATGCATAAGCTGGAATTCAGATATCCGACAAAACTTACCTCAGCAACACTATTTCTTGTCTAAGTCACGTCCAACGCGGCCATGGTATAAATTTCCAGAAACACAACAGAGGAGACGACGGTCGCCCGACCTTCACATGACGATGGTCTGGGTTTCTTCGGTGTAAAGGTGTCTCTGAAACGAAGGCAAAACAGTTATTCAGTGCGACACCCAAAGCTGACCTCACCCAAGCAACAAGTATGTGCGATGCGCCTAAGCATGACGAACACGATGGTGCCAAAATCGTGGCTTTAACCCGCGCCGGGCCGGGGGTTTTTGAACACCCCCCCTGCGGTTTTTCGCAGATATCTCAAAAACGGGGGCGCGGAGCGCCGCCGTTTTTAGTACACCTGTTTGTGCATCTTTTCCGCACATGTTGTAAAAATTTCAGACCCAAGTCACCTTAGGTCATGTCACCAGGTCACGCCAAGTGACCTCACCTCAGAAAGAAATAAGAATGCTCGTCATAGCTACACCGACTGAACGATTGCCTTGAAACTTTCAGCGATTGATTAGAGCAACACTATCTATAAAATTTTCATCTCGGAATTTCTATATCGGTGACCTAAGGTCAGGTCAATTTTGCGGCCTCTCCATTATAAGTCAATGGGAGAAAATTGAAAAGCGTCTGTTTTGCACGAACGCTATTCTAGACATTCTCAAACATCTAGATGTAGGTAAAATTGACACACTGAACCAGAAAATGGCAACTGTGACCCCTCATTATGTCCCCGAGGTCATCTCAGTCTCAGGTCACGAACAGAATCTAACAGTTTTCGCTAATAACTTCTGATAGAGACGTGCTAGAGCGCTGAAAACGCCTTAGATGTGTTCGGCTCGACGTTGTGGATCGACTGATATGCAACATGACCTTTTCCAGTCAGGTCATGACCTTGACCTGAGGTCAAATTTTCAAGTTGACCTTTCAAGGTCAAATTATTGTTCATTCGACGCGTCTCGATGAGAGAAACACGATGCTGGCAAAAGTAATGTCATGGCTCTTTTGAGTAAAAAGTTATTGCCGAAAAGCCGTTTTTCGTAAAATCAGTTATTTTTGGAGTTTTTTGCCCTCTGGAGGCTAAACCATTGACCTGAGGTCAAATCTGAGAACATTACTCAGAAAGGTCTGTAAAAGGACTATCGAATGCGCTTTTCCGCGGCGCTGTAGCTCTGTCGGTTTCCGAGATAGCCGTGGGCAGTTTCCAAAATGTTGAAATAGTCAACATTTTACCTTTGGTGACCTCTGGTGACCTGACCTTTGACCTGACCCAAAAAATGATCAAAGTGTTTTCGTCCTTATTTTAGACGTTCTTTCGATTGCCGCTTACCGCGTGTCGCTACATGGCCCAGGAGCCGAGTTAGAAGGGGGGGGGGTGTTCAGACACCCCCCCCCCGGCCCGGCGCGGAATCTCAGAGCACCGGCCCGACGCGGGTTAAGACGTCCATTTCTGACAAATATTTTTTTACCAAAACCAAACCTGTACTTAAGAGCACTTAACCCGACCTCATAGGTCACCGTTGGACCTGAGACCATTGGGTAAGTACCTTATCGGGTACCAGTCGCTGCGTCTCGTAATGGCGCAAACGCTCGTTTTTCCGCGAGACTATCACTATAGCTCAATTAGGGGCGTAACGGCGAGGGAGATGGGTCTAACCCCCCCCCCCCCCCGTCTAGGTATATGTGGCAAAAAAGGTAGGTCTGGCCACCATTAACCCACGCACCGACGAGGATCCGGGCCAACTTTGCACAGACACCTAGGCTCTAAGATCTCGAAAACGAAGCAAGATAGCCACATTGGTAAACGACATTGGATACCGGTGACCATGAGCAACATGGACTACAATGATAATTGAGATCTTTTTCAGGTCAGGTTAAAAATAGCGTCACAGAGGAGGTCAAAATATTCAAAACTGCGGCATAATGGTTCAATAGCTTTTTTTAGAATTACCCTTAGCCAAGGTGAGCAAAACTAACAATACCATGGAGATTCATTCGTCCATCCACATCGACATGTGTACGTGTTAACCTCGAGAGGTGAAGGTCAAACGTTGACCTCAGGTCAAGTTAACTCAAGGTCAAATTGTATGTCATTCGATCCGTCTTGGCAAGCTGAGCAGTGAGCACAATTAGACCGGCTCTACCTCTTGCCTCTTGCCTGTAAGAAGTTATAAGCAAAACGTTTAAGTGACCCTTAATGACGTCACATGACCTTACAGCTGTCCATTAGCAAACGGGACATGAAGTCCCGTTTCATTGTCATGTCGTTCTAGTCCTGAATGATTTCATTTTTGGTAGAATTGGCCATTACGCTGTGTCATTAATTGTGACTGACACGGTGATTTGAGTTTGTGTCATTTAAACCAACCAGGTGACCTGACCTGAGAAGTTAAGAGGCCACTATTCGCATGCACATAGTGTGAGTTTGGTTAGGATATAGCCACGCCAAATTTTGCCGTCACGCTCTAGTATTTTTTTTTTTGCTATTCGAACAATTTAAGGGGGATATCCACCCCCCCCCCCTCGGCACTGCGGGTTAATATTCAGGCCTAGCCGGAGCCAGCGCGCGGCGGTAGCTTCCATTGCTACCTATGAATCATGACCGGCCATGACCAAACCTACACCAGCTCGGATTTACCTGACGATCGGTAGGCTCCTCTGTGTCGTGTCGACGGTCCGTCCTCGTCCGGTGTTGACCACCACTCGTCACCGACCTACCACTACCGTCACCGCCACGTCACCGGCGCGCCGCACCGCCGTCGGCACCCGCACGTGCGTCGGCGTCGACGTTCGACGCGCTACTGTTGTCACATGGCGCCGAACGACAACAGACGGTTGCCATGGACGGTGCTGCGGTCTGGAGGTGGCCACACGAACTAGCCAGGTCGGCTCGCCGGAAGCCGACTGACTCATTCTTTATCGGCGAGTGAACAAAATGCGCCTTCGCTAATGCATGCACTTAAAGGGACTATCCAACCTTCTAAAATGTTGTTAAAGCCAGTTAAATTGTGCCCGACTTTATAGATTTGATGACCAGGAACACGGTTCTGGCATTTATTTTTCATTAAACATCTTAGGCTTCCCATATTCCAAACACAAACTTTCAAATATGTGACGTCACAGCCCAAAATTACCTCCTTCCCCAGGCCACATTACTGTCATAAAGCTGATTCTTTTTACTCTGTAGGCACCACAACAAAGTTCAGACCAAGTTTTAAGCGATTTTTCAACGAACAAACCCATTTAAATCAGAATGACTAAACGAGGTGACGTCACACTAACGGTCGCTCCATGTTGAAGATAGGGCCTTGTACAAGGCCCATTTTCAAATGAAGGGAACGAATTTCTTCAACACCAAGAGGCCGCGGGGGTTGCAACCTAGATAGATAGTGGTTTCTGAACCTCGCCGCAAACTTGGCTATCTCAACTCAAACCCCATGTTAAAGGTGGGATAGTCCCTTTAACGGTCTACGCCGTAGAGTAGGTACCTACTCGTATTGCAACGCAATCTAATTTGTCTGCGTATGCTTTTCGGCGCTGTTGCAAGCAGCAATAATAATAAAATATTAAGTTTTTAGGAATCTTGTCTGTTTGAAAATCAGGTAAAACTAGAAGATTTGATCTAGTAATTAGTATGTTATATTCTTGAACAGCCTGCTCTTAAAAACCATCTACTAAGGAGTTTCAACCTCTCTCATGTCAACTTCATTCTTATCAGCCAGCTTATCAGCTGGAAGCTGACTCATTAGCCGGTATCCGGATCGAAATTCAACTGATCCTGAAAGGGCCGCCGAGGTGGGTGACAAATACGGGCGTTAATCCCTGATAACGATAGTGAGCAGACGCCGCCCCACCGCGCGGCTCCTTCGCACCATGTCTCTGACCCCCCCCCCCCCCCCGGACGACCCCTCCAGAGTGAAAGTCGGCGTCTGCCGTCTGGGATTTCTGCCAGCGTCGGCCGCCTAATCCCCTGGAGGGTATAGTCCGTGGGTCCTCCTGCTGGTCAGTCGGTGTCACTCCGACCGGTATTCAACACATCTGCGCCGATTAGGGGAGGTTACGAAGGGCCGACACGTGGGGTTAACGAGGGGATGAGGAGGTAATGCGATAAGGTACCCGGGCCCGGCGATAAGAAAGCTGGGCCCGCCTCCCACCTCAAGGTGTCATGTGAGCCGTGGAGGAGCAGAAGGCGGAGTCTAACAACCATTCACCAATCAGAAGCAGACACGAGCCGTTCCGGGCCAGATCCCCAAAGTGAAGATGCCACGAGGCGATTTTGGGCCCAGAGTGGTGACGCAACAGCGTCTCTCATTTCCGTCGGCGTGTTTGGTGCGGCGGGGCTCGTAAGCGGCGTCTCGAGTTACAAGCGTCGACAATGATTCAGAACTCTACTTGGCCCTCGCTTATCTCGCCGGAAGAGGAACGGACAGAGGCACCGGTTGGAACAGCAGACCCTGCTGATTTTGGAGATACGCCTGGCGACTTCGAGCACAGCCATCGTCCTCTGGCACCTACCAAGAGAAGTAAGTAGCCGTAATGCTTAATTTACCTATGCTCAAAATTTGCCCATAAAACTGTGATGTTTGGCTTCTCATGTTTGTGACGTCAGCTTATTTGGCTTCTTTTGTCTTGTGTAACTGTGCCAAGTGGACTCGTTTATCCGGCTCCGGACTCTTTAGTGCCCTGATCCGGCTATAATGTGTATATACATAGGTCTCATAATTAAAGCGTTTTAGCTAGTTAACCCGCGCCCCGCTGGGGGGGGGGGCAGAATCTGCCCCCCCTCCCGTTTTTCGCCAATAACTTCTAAACGCGTTACGCCAGCGACGTCAAACTTTCAGTACCTTATCATACATCAATTTGACACGTTCCCTGAAAATTTGAGCGAAATCCGTCGGAAAATTTTTGAGAAATTGACGTTTTAGTGACGTCATGTTCGCCATTTTCGCCTAAAAAACGGCAAAATTTCAAACGCCGCTAACTTCTTCATTTTTAAAGGAATCAAGACGTAACAAAAAAGGTTATACGTGATTCTACTTTGTCTATCAAATGGCTATCTCGGTTTTTTGAAAATTTTGGATTTTGGCCAAAATTTTTCCAAAAAACTGACTTTTTGGGGAAAATATTTATAAAATCCAAAATTTTGAGTTTATCGAAAAAACCGGAATATATGTCAAAGAAGTGGTCTATGTGCACCTACATACCAATTTTGAGAAGAATCGGTTCAAAAATGTGGGAGTTATTCAAAATTTTATGACGTCACGACACACAAAAATTTTGAAAAATGATTTTTTTTGGAAGTTCTAGACCTCGTACGGAAACAAAAATAGCACCATTCGATTCGCCGTGAAAAACTGCATCGGATAGACACCTTTTTAGGCCTTAACAACCAACTTCAAAATTTGACCTCACTTGACCTGACCTTGACCTGACCTCGACCTGAAATTCATCCAGAGGTGGTCCATATCACTTATTGAGTGTGCCTATTGAATCCCATGAGTAAAATGACCCATAAAACATGTGTCGCACATGCCCTTTTCTATATTTTGTTTTTGGTGACCTGACCTGACCTGACCTGACCTTGACCTTGACCTTTGAATGACATTGTGTGCAACGAATATTGTCTTGGTAGTCTAAGAACACGTTTTGGGCAATCAGTCTCAGTCCATTCTTCGGCAACTACGGTGCAAGGCCGATACTGTAGAAACTTGCATTTTGTACCCTTGACCTGACCTTGACCTGACCTCTGACCTACTTAAGCAAAAAAAATTGGGCTCTTAAGATCCGCCTTGTTGAGAGCTTTCGATTGCCGTTTTCCCCGTCTTTCTACGACCATCGGTTCGGAAGTTAGACAGGGGGGGCAGAATCTGCCCCCCCCAGCAGGGCGCGTATGGCTGAATAGCCCAGCGGGGCGCGGGTTAATGCTAGCTGCGAGCAAGTATACCTAATTATGTAATTCCGAGGATTCCAATTTTTTTTTGCGTGGTTTCAGATTTTCTGGAGATGAGTTTCGATGAGTTTCTGGCGGAAGGTGAGCTCCAGGAGGCCAAGCGGCGCGCCGTGCCGGCGTTCGAGTCGCGTCCGGCCCACCTCACTGGGATCTCGCTCGACCCGCCGGGTCAGCGCCAGAGGAGGGTGGACCCGCTGCTGTTCATGGCCAGCCTCCAGAGCAGACTGCACGAGCCGCCGCCAGAGAACAAGGAGGTGCCGCTGCTCCGAAAGGTGCGCCTCCAGGAGTCCTACCGACTCGTCCGTCGCACGGAGGTAAGACTGCACACTGAGTGAAAGAACCGTGTAATGTGCGATATGCATAATCGAGGTCATACTAACAATTATCTGGAGATTGGAGCAGTGCTTGAGTTAGGATCGCCAACGAGTTCAACTATTGATTGTAACTTAAAAATAATCCACCATATTTAATGTTAATCAGGGTTTGAAATGCGAACGTGTTCTGTTGAAATCAGAGAGGCAGCTTGACAAGTGACAACGGTGGTTGTTCGTTTCGCAACAGGACATTCTGGAATGTATTTGTTGTACAAAAACATTCCTTTCAATGGGGTTATGGATGTGCAAACTAGAAAGAATGTCTGGCAACATTGAAAATCTTTTTCAGGAGCTTTGTGACTGGGTGAGACATTTTACTTGCGCCGCGATTATTCTAACCCCGAATTTTCGTGCTGTTTCAGCTGCAGTGGTGGCAGATGTCGAGCTGATCTGCCGGTACCTGGCGAAATAGTGCATCTCATCATCAGCTCAGCGCCAACCCGTCATTTTGTCATCACATTCTTATAAGCATCTTAAAGTCAGTGTCTTCTGCCGTCTTCATAATCATATCAATCGCTATCACCACGGCGAGTGTTTCATGTTCATCATGATTCAATGTTCAGTCATATAGTGCTGATATTACGTATATTGTGGTGCATGTAATGCGTTTTCTTTGTGATCCTTGTGCGAGATTATGGAATGGATTGTAAACCACGTAACAACCTTTGTATAGTGGATAGAAGATGTGGGTGAAAAGGCGGGTGCAATCGCGTGCATTTTTCACATGTAATCACAAGCGTGAAGCGGGTGCATTTGAGTTCCACGAGTTAGCGGCGTTGGTGCTGTGCGCAACTGGTCCAGCCAGCGCCGCATTGTCAACAAATGCCTGTGTCATGCATTTTTTCTATTGTAATAATAAACTCAGGAAAATAACTTGATCTTTAAAGGTAGCGAGCGCCTGACTTCTTCAGAGGTGGCGCGTTTCACGACAGATTAAAAAAAAAGTGCGAAACAACACCCAACATCTCACATTTTGATAAAATTTGGTCTAAGGGGATATCTTGCCCGATGACTCGTGTTGTGATATTTTCAATCTCATCCGTCGAATACTGTGGAAGCTATTGCCCCAGACACTTTCACACCGTCATTTCACGTGACGTCAAAGTGAGCCTATGCAAAGTCCAAAAATGTCGCCAATGCGAAACACCTTTAGTGCCAAACAAATGCTTACTGGGAGATAAAACTTGGAGTGAGGATGAAGCTCTCATGCCGTTACAACTGCATGCCTCATAGTTGTTTCTTCTTTTTTTTTTTCTTAAAAGTCGTTCAGGTCGGTAACGTGACTTCACCACCATACGTCAATTAGGAAATACTGACAATTTCATATATCCTTGGCACTAGGTCCGATGCTAAAAAAGGAAATATTTCACTTTTAACATGGGGTTTTGAACTGGAATAGCAGTTCCGTAGCTTGAGCTCAGACAAGCACAAATCAGGAGCTTTTATGGCCCAACAATTACCCTAGGCAAAGATATTCCATTTCTCGTCCCAAAAAAAGTGCCTTGCTGAGGAATGTGTGCCTTGCAGGGGTCATTTCGCTCTTTCAAAACTGAAAAGTTCTTCCCATGTTAAAATATAGAAAATGATATTTTTATAAAAAGGTTTTATGTTCTTTGCTGATCATTTTGAGCATTAAAATCGTAAATTCATTACAAATGACATTACAAAAAAACTACTTTCGTGAAAGTGAACTAACTATTCCCTTTAAGTTTTGCTTTATGGACCTTGCTGACTTTCTAAGGACGCCACATTTATATGACGTCACTAAGATCACTTAATTGGATAATTTGTCGTCAATAGCTCCTGAACAGAATGAGCTAGCGAGTTCGACGCCACAATAAACTCAGAATGAGCTGTCGAATCGACTGATACATTTGCTGCATTATATCAATCGACCAGTTTGGTGACTTGAACGACTTTGTCCTGACCTTGACATGAGGTCAACATGTTAAGTTGAGCCTTCTAAAATATCAGTTCACCATACGACGCGACTGAGCATGACAGACACGATGGTGCCAAAATGACGCTTCTGCGAACATTTGGGGTTGATTTTGGGGATCTATTGACCGAAAACCGGACCTCTGCCTCAGGGCGTTTGACCTGACCTCAGCGGTCACCTGCTAAACCTAATTATATACTTTTGTCTGGAAGAGGTCAACTAAAAGTGTTTAACTCAGTTCAAGGTCACATTAGAACCGCTGAGGCCAAGAAGTTGGACAAAGGAGGCATTGTAGCCGTTTTCATGGCGGGTTATCTGACGAATGCATCAAACTTGTCTAAATCTAACCAAATCTCTTTTACTGCAACTATCTTTATAATGTGAATCTATTATACTGTTTGAATCAAGAATAACGTCTGATAATATGATAGGTTTGTAGTGTTAGCGTCGGGTCACACTGGCCGCGCGGTGGCCAGCTGGTGGTCCACCGGCCGGCCGACCAGTGAGCGGTCACCGCCCGAGGCCGCCGACCGGTCACGTGACCGGGTGCGGCCGGACGGACGCGGTGCGCCGCGCGGCGGACGGCAGAATGAGCTGGAGCGCGGAGTCGGACTGACGTGTTCCGAGGCTTGCTCGCTGGGCTAGGAGATTGATCGTGGTTCTCTGCTTGTTTGTCTCTGATTTGCTTTGATTTTCTCATTCTAGTGTTTTGCAATATATCATGGTCTAGTTCCGCTTCTTTCCTTTGCGATAAACACACGCTTGACGCTACACATAAAAGATGTGGGTGATAGGGCGGGTGCAATCGCGTGCATTTTTCACATGCAATCACAGGCGGGTGCATTTGCTATCCAAGAGTTAGTGGCGCTGGTGCTCTGTGCAGCTGGTCCAGGCAGTGCCTCTTTGTCAAATATTTTTTTTCGTGTATTTTTTCGTGTCGTCTATTTTTCATTGTGATGATAATGTAGCGAGGGGATTTAGAAAAGAAAGAAAAAAAGAAGGAATAAAAAAAGCTGCATCTTCTTTGCGGTTCATCAAATACTGCGGTCCTCTGTCATTCAGCTGGTTGTAGCAGAGAGAATAATTCGCTGCTGTAATGCTGTCGGTAGTAGAGCTGGTGATACCAAGGGCGGATCTAGGGGAACGTTTTGGGGGGGGTCACCAGTCGGCCGACATGCCAGGTCTGATGAATGAATTCTGACGACCGGGGGGGGGGGGGGTAGGGAGCGAGTATGTCGAGATCCAATGACATTTGATCTTCGTCGTTTCTGAGTTGAAGTTTTATCGTAAGTCACTCGGCTCAGTAGTTTTAGTTAGTGAAACCCACCTATAGAGGAGCGTCGCCACGGATTTTTTTACTGGGGGGGGGGGGGGCGGATCGACCGACTTAAAAACCCAGAAGTAGTAGATATAGTTACCTCACTTATGCATTAGTCTAATGCCCAATGCATTAGTAGCATACAGTCACGATCTCTCTTATTGACCTGTGTATGAATCGGCGGCGCGAAGCGCCGCAAAAATTTGAAAAAAGTTGTCAAAACACAGCTCTAAAACACAAATATTACAACCCTTTTAGCATGCTAGTACAAGCCGGAGTTCCTTCACAGTGCACATATGAATTCCGATTCAATTTGACACGGTTGGTGTTATTACAGTCACGATCTCTCTTATTGATTGGTGTATAAATCGGCGGCGCGAAGCGCCGAGAACATTTGCAAAAGAATGTGTCAAAACACAGCTCCGCTCCAAAACACAAATTTTACCACCCTTTTAGCATGGCAGTACAAGCCGGAGTTTCTTCACAGTACACATATGAATTCTGATTCAATTTGACACGGTTGGTTTATGTAATTACAGTCACGATTTCATATTGACCTGTACGTATGTACATGAATCGGCGGCGCGAAGCGCCGCGAAAAATTTGCAAAAACATTTGTCAAAACACAGAGGGGGTCTCCTCTCTACAGAGGACCACCGATCTCTACTGCGGGCCTCCTCTTTTCACAGGGCCTCTTAACTACAGAAGGCTTCCTCTCTACAGAGGGCTTCCTCTCTACTGAGGGTCTCTCCCTTTCAGAGGGCCTCCTTTACAGAGGACCTCCTCTCTTCAAAGAGCCAGAGGACCTCATCTCTGCAAAGGGCTTCCTCTCTTCAGAGGGCCTCTTCTCTACAGAGAGCCTCCTTTCTTCAGAGGGCCTTCTCTCTACAGCGGGTCTCCTCTCTTCAGAGGGCCTTCTGCATTCAGGCGGTCTCCTTTCCACAGAGGGTCTCCTCTACAGAGGGCCTCCTACCTACTGAGGAGTCAGAGGGGCCGACACAGACACTAGCGGTTATTCACTGGAGGCCCCAGGAAGTAAGAAGGGCCCTAGCTGTCAGGCTGGTCAGAGTGCCCTGAATGTCCTGACGTGATTTTTGGGATTCCCGTGAATTTCTTTCGCCTCCGACGTGATTTTGACCTGCCAGGGCCCAGGGGCACTAAAAATAAAACAAACAAAATAAAAAAATGGAAATAGGACATCACCAAAATTAAGTGGCCGAAATCCGTTGAGTTTTTAATTTTGCGTATAGGTAGGGGCACCACGAATTAAATTCATGACCATCCCCTTGGAGTTTTCCTGGATCATCCCCTGGTGCTCGCACGGTTGAGACAAAAATGAGTAAGATTCTGGCCTTCAATACGCCTTTTCACGCAACACGATCCAGAAAAACAAAGGTATTAGCTCAGAAGTGTTTGACCAAGGGCGGATCTAGGGGAACGTTTTGGGGGGGGTCACCAGTCGGCCGACATGCCAGGTCTGATGAATGAATTCTGACGACCGGGGGGGGGGGGGTAGGGAGCGAGTATGTCGAGATCCAATGACATTTGATCTTCGTCGTTTCTGAGTTGAAGTTTTATCGTAAGTCACTCGGCTCAGTAGTTTTAGTTAGTGAAACCCACCTATAGAGGAGCGTCGCCACGGATTTTTTTACTGGGGGGGGGGGGGGGCGGATCGACCGACTTAAAAACCCAGAAGTAGTAGATATAGTTACCTCACTTATGCATTAGTCTAATGCCCAATGCATTAGTAGCATACAGTCACGATCTCTCTTATTGACCTGTGTATGAATCGGCGGCGCGAAGCGCCGCAAAAATTTGAAAAAAGTTGTCAAAACACAGCTCTAAAACACAAATATTACAACCCTTTTAGCATGCTAGTACAAGCCGGAGTTCCTTCACAGTGCACATATGAATTCCGATTCAATTTGACACGGTTGGTGTTATTACAGTCACGATCTCTCTTATTGATTGGTGTATAAATCGGCGGCGCGAAGCGCCGAGAACATTTGCAAAAGAATGTGTCAAAACACAGCTCCGCTCCAAAACACAAATTTTACCACCCTTTTAGCATGGCAGTACAAGCCGGAGTTTCTTCACAGTACACATATGAATTCTGATTCAATTTGACACGGTTGGTTTATGTAATTACAGTCACGATTTCATATTGACCTGTACGTATGTACATGAATCGGCGGCGCGAAGCGCCGCGAAAAATTTGCAAAAACATTTGTCAAAACACAGAGGGGGTCTCCTCTCTACAGAGGACCACCGATCTCTACTGCGGGCCTCCTCTTTTCACAGGGCCTCTTAACTACAGAAGGCTTCCTCTCTACAGAGGGCTTCCTCTCTACTGAGGGTCTCTCCCTTTCAGAGGGCCTCCTTTACAGAGGACCTCCTCTCTTCAAAGAGCCAGAGGACCTCATCTCTGCAAAGGGCTTCCTCTCTTCAGAGGGCCTCTTCTCTACAGAGAGCCTCCTTTCTTCAGAGGGCCTTCTCTCTACAGCGGGTCTCCTCTCTTCAGAGGGCCTTCTGCATTCAGGCGGTCTCCTTTCCACAGAGGGTCTCCTCTACAGAGGGCCTCCTACCTACTGAGGAGTCAGAGGGGCCGACACAGAC